CAGGAAGAACAACATAGGATAAAAATGAACCTTAATTTCATCAAAATATTGACAAAACTCTTAGGTTATGCATGTGTTAAAGAAATATGGGTCAACGTAAAGTTGGATAGATCTCTAGGGAGCATCATATTCATGACTACAAGAATAATTTTTGTGTCAGTCTACTTGGAAGAGGGTCTCTAGTGGTGTATTAGAAGGCTCTGTTCTTAGCTCTGTTCAGGTCCTTGGTTTTAATCAATGACTTGAATGAAGATACAGAAGACACACAACTACTCCCAAGGCAGGCTATGGATTTATGGATTTTCTTAAGAAGAGACCACACATGTAAAATTGAATTAAGTTTGTAACTTTCTCAGACAGAGATGAAGTTTATTTGAAACAAGGTGAATAAAACAGAGTAAGAATCTATGCTCAGCTCAGCTTCTTTTGATCCCAGAATCCATAATGGATGCTGCAGTTGCCACTTATATTCTTAGTATGATGCTATATCTGAAAAGCTAAATTTTATTGCTCACCACATCCCTTTTAATATCCGGGGCTTACATCATCAGCCAGGAAGAACTTACACAAATAAGAAACATTTGCAGATGTCCATACCCTTTCCTTATTCTTAAATAAAACACAGGGTCAGTTCAGTCCATGTAGACCTCAGGCAGGGGGGCACAGTCAGTGTGCTCCTGCCCCTAAGTTGCATCTCTACCTCCCTCTATACTGCATTCAAGAGAGGATGCCGGTATTCAGTGTCGCTTTGCTAAGTTCCCCTAAGATTCCTGTTGGGGTGCAGTGGTCCCAAGTTACTGTCCTAAGAACTTAAAGTCTTGTTATAACTAATAAACATAGCTTTTGCTGCATCACAGTCCTTTTATACCTTCAGCTTAAATCAGTACTCTAGAAGACTTTATACAAATAAAGTGTCATTGATGTTTTCTTTTAAGGGATTAATTTCAGATGTTAAGGTTCTCTTGGTTCTTAAGCCAATAAACTCAGGACCAATGAAACTAAATCCTCATCCAAGGGGAAAAAGCAGTTAGCCTTCAGGTATTGCTGCTGGTTTCTCTGTCACTGGTTATGCAGCGTCCTAAAAAGCTCATTTTCCCACATGAGCCTTGCAGATTTACAGAGGACATAAAACAGGGAAGGAAATGCCAGTGACAAAACTTCAAAAGATATCAGAAAGGCCTGAACAATGAGCCAAAACTTAAAAGGAAAGAAATTAACCAGGTAAATATAAAGTCCCACACCTACGTCCTGGTAGCTGTCTTCCAAATTACTTGACAATGGGTAAGTGCTCCAGTGTAGCATCCATTTGTTGAAATATCTCAACAAGTATTCCATCAATTCCTGGAGCCTTGTTTTTCCCCAATCCCTTAAGTGCAGCTTTGACTTCTTCCTTCAATACCACAAGTTCTTGATCACATGCCACCTCCTGAAATATTTGAACATCGACTTTTTAATTAACTGCAAGGTCAATAAGAGTCAACAGAATGAGTTACTTATTAAAAATAAGATTGCACCAATAAGTGTCCTTATCAAAGTAGTAATACTTGCTTTCTATATAGCCTATTCAGAAGAAGCAATAGCTATGGCATTTAGATTCAGTTTCGTAATCTAATTGTAAAGAGATGCTAGCCAACCATGGAACAGGGTGATTAGAATGTTTAACGGATCTCAAAACCCATGTCTGATGATAAAGAGAGTGATTATACAACTTCCATGTATTAAAGCCCTACTACGTGACAGAATCTGTGGTAGACATAATGCCCAGAATGGATAGGGAACTGAACATCTTTTGCCTCAAAAAGTCATGAGGAGGCTACCTCCTCAACTAAACTTTAAACTCCATAAGGACAGGACATCATTTTCAGATGTTTGAGAAATACATTATCACATGACAGGGAGAAAAGATTATGGGCCAGAGGGGAAACTGGGTCAAATGAGTTGAAGTTATAAGAAAGCAAATTAAATCTTAAATACAAAAAGAAATTTATATCACTTATTGTTGCTCAGAGATGGTACAGGAAGCCTTTTAAGGAGAGCCAAACCCAAAACCAAACCCACTGCCACTGAGTCAATTCCCACTCATAGCAATCCTATAGGATAGAGTAAAACTGCCTCGAGGGTTTCTAAAGCTATAAATTGTTAGGGAAGCAGACTGCTACATCTTTCTCCCACAGAGCTGGTGGGTTCAAACCACCAACCTTTCAGTTACCAGCGGAGCTGTTTTTACCACGGGGCCACCAAAGCTCCTTTTGAGGGCCATTTACTGTTAATTAAGTGCTCAATATGTGCAGTTGTCAGCAGTTCAAGCCCACCAGCTGCTCAGTGGGAGAAAGATGTGGCAGTCTGCTTCTGTAAAGATTAAAGACACCCGAGACTATGACTCCTAGTAACCCTTCAGGTCTGGAATTGAACTCACTCCTGTGGCTTCCAGCCAAACAATAGGTATAAAGGGTGAACAGTAACATCAGGTAGATACACTCGTTGGAACGATCAATCATGGAAGAAGAGAAGGACAGTATTTGCACAGGGAAATAGCTCAGGAGTCAGGAATGCATAGGAAAGAGGGATGCAAGGAAGAGGTGTCTACAGGGAGGAAGTAGGAAGAGAGTTGTTACGTTGTGGGGAATTGCAGTCAATGTCATGAAAGAAAATGTGTATTAACTGCTGTATGGAAAATGAGTTTTCTCTGTAAACTTTCACCCAAAACACAATAAAAATTAAAAAGTAATAAAAATCAGGGGGGAGGGAAAATTAAATCCTTAGAAACCCTTTGGGGCAGTTCTACTCTGTTCTATCTCTATGAGTTGGAATCAGCTCGTGACAATGGTTGGTTTGTTTTTTGATATGCAGTTGAATAGTGCAATGTTAAGTCTCTAGGTTGCTAACCCAAAGGTTAGTGGTTCAATTCTACCAACAGATACCTCAGAAGAAAAGCCTGGTGAAGTCTTCTGAAAAAAATCACCCATTGAAAACTTGATGAAACCCAGTTCTACTCTGACACATATGGGGTCACCATGAGTTGGAATTGACTGGAGGGCAGCTGCTTTGGTACAGTCATGACCTTACCTATATTACAAGCTAAACAGTAAGGTAGATACTATTATCTACATTTTCCATGTGAGGACATTGAGACATAATATAAACTTGTCTAAGTTCACACAACTTGGAAGTAACAACTAAGGTTTATTGACCCAAAAGTTAATTTATTTTCACTAAATTATATTATTCCCTCACATTGGAAATAATTCTACATGGTCATTGGCTAAATGTCCACCTCTTGAGAGCATTTTTAAGGAAATTTCTCCATTGGGTGGAATTACTTCTTTGATCTTTCAAATGGCTCAGTATCAGTGAGCCTGTTTGTCAAGTAACACACTTTCACAGGAATGAATGTTTAATAATCTGCCTCATAAAACCACAAAGTAATAGACCTATTGACAACATTTTAAAATTAATCTAAAGAGATCAGTTTGAGTTGAGGGAATGTTAAATCCTCTCAGTGAAGAATGCATGCTAATTCATCCTGAGTTTCATTGGGAAAGCAGTTAATTGGCTTCCTAATATAATTGCTTCTAGGCCAGTTCACTTATTTGCTACCCTAACTATACTATTCTGAAGCATTTATCTAACACACACTCCTAGTACACCACTTGTAGAGAGAAAATTCAATACATGTCAAGTCATAATATGGACCTTTATATCTGTTATGAACCATAAACATGGTTGGAAGTCTGAAAGAGATGAGTGTAGTTTGGAGCTTGGCCCTCAGGTCTGGGAATTGGGGGAGGGACTTGAAGAAAGCCAGATACTTAGAAGTGGGGAAGAATAGACATCT